AGGGGTGGAGTCTGCCGGGTGGGGGTAGGCAAGGCCGGAAATAGAGCGGAGCGGGAGGGGATAAAGGAGGAGGAGCGGGAGGGAGAGCTCACACTGAGATGTTCTCCCTTCTCTTCGACCTCGAGGATTACGCCACCACCTACCGCGCCACCCGCGACGCCTACCTCAAGGCCGCCAACGAGCTCAAGCTCGCCACTGGCCCCTACAAGGCTGCCCGTGATGCCTACGTAGCTGCCACCGCCACCTACACCAAGTCTCTCTACGAGTAAATGTAATCTTAATAAACTATTCTTTCAAATTATTCGTGTCCCAAACAACTATTCGAAGTCTCATGGATGCGTGGATTGAATTTCGTGTTCCTCAACATGTTCTTCTATTCATTTTCATCTCCTGTCAGTTTGGAGTGCTTGTAGGGTTATATGGTTGACTGGAGGATTGAGACTTCTTGGCGAGTAAGCGCGGAATTGCCCTCTTCGGTCTTCGTGTCCAGTTTGGAATGCTTTGTTTGCCTGTAGAGCACGTCATCGACCATAAGGAGTTGCGAGCTGTGACACCAGAGGGCGACTGAGTCTTGTGGAGGAGCATCACATTCTTGCTGCAGTCCGGCAGATCTATCTCCCACCTGTGAGAGGGCGGAGTGAGTGACGGAGACAATACAGGCGTGCCGTTCCTGGGGTTCGACGCTTGATACCCATGCGCCGCTCCAACCTGCTCGTAGGAAGTTAGGAGGCGGACGACAGGCCAGTCTTGGCACCTCAGCTATGGTCGGCCACATCCGGAAGGAGCTGTCCAGGAAGAGCACAGCAACGTTCTGTGGGTGGTTCAGCCGATACAAGCATGCACATTGCTGCAGTTGACATCTTTGCCGCGGACCAGGAGGTCCTTCACCAGCCCCAAGTCGTTTGCCTGGGTGACGGAACATGAACAGAGAGTCTCAGAGCCGCAGGGCTCGCCTTCAGCTCGACGGCATTCTCGGCAACGACGTAGGAGAAGATGATCATGTCCAGGCTAGTATTGGGACCATCGCCGACGATGGCAGCGTGGAGCTCGGAGTTCTCCGGATGACTGATGGGGGAGGAGAGGAGAGAGAAGGGAGGACAATGGTGGAGGAGGGAGATTGGTGGAGGAGGGAGGAGAGAGGAGGGAGTCATGATGGGCTAGGTCTGTCTCCTCAGAGGATAGAAACCTGAGATCAAACAGGATGTTTGCCCTTGTGAACGTGGTGCAATCTCCCGCTGACTGCCTGACGCTCGATGTCAGACACCCTGTTTCTGGTAGCTACAGCTCTCAGTCAACAGCAGTCACCTCCTACACTCCTCGTAGACGGGGAGCACGTGGCTTGCCACCTGGCAACCGGTCACTGCACACGCTGCTCTAGAGAAGCTCTGACCTTGGACCAACCGATCTCCAGGTCAGCGATGAAGAAGTTGAAGGCTGTTGTCTGGGCAAGGAAGTCGCGTAGGATGAAGCTGTTTTTCATCCTCTCAGTACATCCCCTCTTCCCGGGTCCTGTGTCGTGACTTACAGCCCTATCGCCTGCTCTCCCCGTCAGCGTCACACCATCGCTCCTGCATCCTCCTACTTCACTGCCGGGGCCTCCTCCGATCGCTGCGACGTTGCACCTCTCCTTTCTCCACAAGCCCTGTACCCTTTTCTTCACCTCCCAACGCGGCACGAGGAAACGATCTACCGCTAGAGGCTCCTGGCAGCAAGGATGCAAGAGCACGATGGGGATCTGAGCACTCCTCTGCCTGCCGCAACAAGTCTCATCCCTCACCATGGAGCCCGTAACAGCCGAAGAAGAGCATGGCAGCATGCCTGAATCGTCTCGAAACATACCCTGCGGTGCCTGTTACGGACGTGCAGGTAGAAGGACTAGAACGCTCCTACCTACTCGAGCTCCGTCGTGCTTGTACGCGTCACTCTCGATCCAACCGCCTCCACGCGCTGCATTCCCCCCGCCTGCAACGCCAGGGAACTTGAGTCGCAATGGAGCAGGGCTCGATGGTGGGTGAACTCACTGACAAGGTTCAGTCTCTCCAGCAGCCTTCGGGTCTCGACATGGTCGTCTTGTCCGATCCTCGTCATGAGTTGCGGGATGAAGTCATCACAGAACTTGTGGTGATGTTTCAGTTCCCTGCTCGAACGTGAGTCGAAATCCTCCTCTCCTAAAGCAGGACCTCAAAGTTAGCTTCCTCTCTGGCAGACTCTTTGCTTCTTGTTGAGGAGAGGGCCCTTCACCCTTGCCTGGCTTCAAGCTGACTTGTGTGCTAGCAACCATGTGATCGCCACCGAAGCGAGCGGCCCATCGCTGCAGATGCGTAGTGGATTCTTCAGCTGCCTCTGCCTCATTTTGTGCAGGATCTTTGAGCATGATAGGAGCAGAGACTATGAGGGCTCGGACAGATGTTCTTTCACATCTTCTGCTGATTGCTCCCGCTCGCTCTCATCGACCTCTCGCATCCTCAGTCGACTCCACCATTGGCCCCCATTCTTGTCTTTTTTCCAGCTTTTACACGGGCCGGTATTCAAGGCGGGAAAAAAAAAAACAGCGAAGTGGACTCGGGCCGGGTCAAGTTCAAGTGAGAGGCCTAAAATAAAAGGCCCGGCCTTGAACCCGGTCGGAAACCGGCCGGGCGTCACAGAAGTTCGGCTGAACCGCACCGGCGTGTTGCCACTGTCAGGGGCCCGGCCACACTGAGCCGCCGCTGGCCCCCGGCCGCAGTGGCCTGAGTGGGGCCGCCCGGTGACCGTCCCGTTAGCCTAGTAGTGAGTCCGACCCCGTCACTGCCCGGCCACCGTGACCGGGCCGGGGCGGAGACGGCGGTGGGACCGCCCGCCGCCGCCCGGCCCAGCCGCCCGGCAGTGAACTAACTTCAAGTTCCCGGAACCCGTTTACTCAAAGTTAAATTTAGTTTATCAACTTGACCATCAAAACTCGTGACAGGAGGCCCCGGGCGCTGGATTAGACTTTGTGAAAACATGACAAGTCAGCTGAGATAACCCGATCGATCTGACTTGAAGTCAGCGAGCTGCGCGAACATCCTTGGTCAGCCGCTACTATCAGACAAGAGATTCAGAAGGAGAGCACATCAAAGCGAACCTCGGGAACTGCTGGCACAACCGCGAAATCCTTTCTAGCTTGTCCAAGTAAAAGTCTCTTTCTTCTTGCAGCTGCCTGATCTTCTCCTGCACTCGAATGTCAAGGGCATTTTCCCGCTGTCAAAGAAAGAGAAGCATGTGATGAAATGGAAAGCGGGAAGGAGTTCATGACGTAGAATGTTGTCGTGCACATTGAGACCGAAACACTTACCCGTTTTGCAGCCTGCGACATCAAGCGCGAAGTCAGATCCTGCTGCATCATTGATAGGAGCTTCTCGATCTTCTCCTGCATGAAATGGTCCTCTCTCTGTGAAACATCCTGGTGCGATTTCATTCGCGCGCTCTCTGACGTACGCGGGTCTACTTGATGCTGTAAAAGATCATCGATGTCGGGGTCATCAAAGATCAGTGGGGAGGAAGCCTTGATCTCCATCTCTCCATGTCTGTCCTGAGAGTCCTCGTCACTCTCGCTCTCCACGAGTCCGGAGTATCTCTGCGGTTGCAGCTCTCGGAGTAACCTCCCCGATGACGTGAACAAGATCTCATTGGCGTGCTGTTGGGCGAGCAGGTCAGCGGTACCATCAGAGATGCAACTGTTGTCACTTTTTCTGGCGGCGGACGAAAACTGGAATGTCGGACACCGGTTTCATGCCCTCGTTGTGTGCTGGCCACGAGATTTTTGCCGGAGAGCCAGTCCTCGCCCTGTAGACCTCCCGCAACCGACCGAGATTTGCTCGACGTCTTCTGCCTCTGCCGTATGGGCCTGTGATCTTGTCCATCTGTTGAAACGAAGTCAAGTCATTCTCTTCGGACGTGAGATCGTCCAAACAACAGACCAGGAGAGAATCTTTGAGCTTCCTGCATGAAATCCAGAGGCGCCAGGTCATCGCGTTTTGTTGAATGTTGAAGTGAGGAGGAATACAATCGCTCCGGCATGGCGTCAGTGCTGCCAGAGGTCGAGGCATCGATGCCACCACCGAGCCCGCGCCATCCTTTCTCCCGGTATTCCTTGTACATGGGATGAGCCCTCGTCTCCGCCCTGTGCCCACCTGAAGCAACTCGTCTCGGCTACACCATCAAGGCAGGGGAAGCACCTTTCTCTAGGGCTTCCATGCGACGGCGATACGCGTTGTACTGCAGATGAGCGCCAGGACAATTCTTTTGCACGAGACCATGACAGTACTGCAAGAACCTGCGCAACTAGTGACTAGAGCACCTTCTTGTTTGTGCATCTCTCTCGCACGCAAGGTTCTCAGGGAAGGAGCCGCTTGCAATCTTCTCGACTTGGACTGGCCTCAGCACTCCAGACTCTCTCGTTGCTTTCTCGAGAATCTTCCGGGAGGGTGTCAAGCTAGGTTTGCGAAACGTGACACAACATACACGAAGATTTTTCAGCTTCTCATCCTGCGTCTTGGCTTGAAAATTTAGCTTGTGCAGCGGCACTTTCCCAGGATAGATGGCGTCGAATATCTGACAGTAGGCGATGCCGTCTGCACAATCTTCAACCTGCATGGGATTCAGCCGCTCAAAGCTTGAATTCGCTCTCACACCTTTGAGTAGTCAAGACTCAGAAAGTCGTTGAGCCATCCCAGGAGCTCCCAACGACCAAGCGATCGTTTCATGCTCTCTTCACCACCCTCCTCGCATCAGAAAGCGTTCTTGTTGCCTGCCAATCATCTCACTATCCTTCTGATGCCTCTCCGACCTTCTCTTTCATCACAAAGCTGTCTCCCTCTCTGCAAGGTGCTCCTCCCTAAATCCTATCCCGTCTGCAAACATTTTTTATATGCCCACCCCTAGTTTTCCCTGCTTTACCACCACCGGTACTGGTCCCCGAAGGTCGACTCCCGCCTTGTTTGAGGCCAGAGGCAGCAGGGTCAGCGCGTAGGAGGCAAGCTTTCGAGCAACGTTTGCAAGCCGCTTTCAGCGACGAGCTTGCCAAGCAAACAAGTACGCAATGCTATCGACTTCAAGAACTTGGGAACGGAACAGTGATATCGTATGAAGCTAATGTCAACCTGCAGTGGGTGAAGGAGACAGATGACTTGCTGAGTATCTGGGGGCAATCATGTAGCTCTCAAGCAACGGTTTGGAACATTTACTCGAGCGTCGGAATCCCATGTGGCTTCAATTATCATGATCACAAGTACCAAACAAGTCGCTCGATGCTGTGCTCGTTGCGCCAATCTCCGATCCTTGACTCGAGCTGGCCCGGGTGAGCTTCCAACTCATATCAACATCAGCGGCTTCAAGTTGAGGGATGTCCCCGGACTGTCACAAGTTTCTGAGCTCAGTTGAGTGTCCCAAGGTGGATTCTCAGGACCTTCGACTCCCATGATGTAGTGCTTCTCCTTATCATACTTTTCGCCGAGCGTGTTGCTCACACCATGATGGCAATCAGTCTCCATGGAAGCAGTTGGTCGCCGCATTATCGAACGGAGCGAGAGAAGGAGGGGACGTAAAGCCGTCTGAAGCTGTAGATTTTCCTCTTCGGGACTGTTTCCCTTGAACTTGATCAACTGAAAGCATATAAAAGCTTCAACGTCCCGCTCCCAGCTCACCATGAGATCGAGTTTCGTGATGCAAACCCCAGTAAAAGCAGAGAAAGACATGAACAACCACAAAAACTTGCCATACGAAAATGAAAACACCATCAAGCAACTGCAGCACGATCTACACACGATATCACAGAATGATATATCACGAGACACGAGTCTTACCGTTTCTTTGACATCACTTTCACATCAAACATTCATCCATCCAAGTACAGTTGAAGAGGAAAAATTGAACACAAGAACAAGTAATTTGAAAGAATAGTTTATTAAGATTACATTTACTCGTAGAGAGACTTGGTGTAGGTGGCGGTGGCAGCTACGTAGGCATCACGGGCAGCCTTGTAGGGGCCAGTGGCGAGCTTGAGCTCGTTGGCGGCCTTGAGGTAGGCGTCGCGGGTGGCGCGGTAGGTGGTGGCGTAATCCTCGAGGTCGAAGAGAAGGGAGAACATCTCAGTGTGAGCTCTCCCTCCCGCTCCTCCTCCTTTATTCCCTCCCGCTCCCTCCTGCTCTATTTCCGGCCTTGCCTACCCCCACCCGGCAGACTCCCCCGCTCCTCCTCGTATACCACCGGGTGATACTCACACCCCACCCCCTCCTGCTCCAGCTTTTCCTCCCCGTGCTTCATTATACAGTCGATGCACCCCTCCTTTTAGCAGGGTCTCCACCCGTACGTGTGGTCTTCCAGATCTATTTCGGGTGGGATCGCCTGCCTCAGCTGTCAGATCGTCACCTCCACGCCCAGCAGAGCCCCACCACTAGAGGTGTGTTCGATCTGAAAACCCGCAGGGCCCAGTCAGACGCCGGAGGCATGTCTGGCAGGTTCGCCTCGGCGTCCTCGCTCATAAGAAGCATCTTGTGGCACAGGGTGTCTTGGCGCTAGGCAAGGCCGGAAATAGAGCAGGAGGGAGCGGGAGGGGATAAAGGAGGAGGAGCGGGAGGGAGAGCTCACACTGAGATGTTCTCCCTTCTCTTCGACCTCGAGGATTACGCCACCACCTACCGCGCCACCCGCGACGCCTACCTCAAGGCCGCCAACGAGCTCAAGCTCGCCACTGGCCCCTACAAGGCTGCCCGTGATGCCTACGTAGCTGCCACCGCCACCTACACCAAGTCTCTCTACGAGTAAATGTAATCTTAATAAATTTGAAACTTGGATTGTTGTCGATTTTTGTGTGGAATCCTTGATTAATCTTGCCTGAAGTAGGCTTTTGCAATAACGATTTGATACAAGTTGACTCGCTAGACATGGTGTATTCGTTAATTTAGCATTGTAGATGCTGCACTTGAATTTGTTGTACTAGATTGAATGTCACAGCTTTGGTGTATATGGATGTGTGTCAATGTTAATCGATCGTTGTGCAAATAAGGTTGATCTTCGGGTCTGTTTGCTCGTTTTAGAGTGATCTGTTCACTGGGAGATCCATCCTTCTGAGATGTGATGGTCTTCGTCACCTGATCCAACTACACTTCAGGGAGCGAGAGCATCCTCAGCCATGATACGTGGGGTAGAGACGTAGTGATGTTCTAGAACGCGCCTCCTGTCTCTTTCTCTCATCTCATCACATCACACCACACCACATCACATCCGAGAAGGAGGCTTGTAGAGCGAGCACGTAGAGAGCACATGTCAGTGATGTCGCTAAGACGGCATGATCAACGTCCGACCACACGGTCTCTCACTTTATACCACTGAGACAGCATCATTAGCGTCCGACGACTCGGTCTCTCACTTCCTTTTCTCGTACTTTTACTTTCTGGTCAGATGTTCTCGATCTCTTCACGCTTGAATTCATCTGCCTGGCCCTGCCTCGATACTCTGATCAATATCCCCTCGTCGTACCTCAATAGATGCGAATATTCTTCGCGTTGCATGCTTGTTTCAAGTTCTTACCTATGCTTTAACACAATCCTTTCTCTCATTCCTTATTTTACATCCCTTGCCTTGATGAGCCTTGTCTGGACTCGCCTGGGCATTGACTATACATCCTGCCTCTTCTCTTCTTCTCCTCTTCTCTTCTTCTCTTCTTCTCTTCTTCTCTTCTTGACTCCTTCTCTTCTTCTCTTCTTCACTCCTTCTCTTCTTCTCTTCTTCTCTTCTTCTCTTCAAGAGTCTTCGCTGATTCATTTGTCCCCATGTTTACAAATCAAATTCGTGACCCCCATCATTCCTAAGCAACTTAAACCACCCCCTTGTTCACCCTACCCCTTGATTTCAAATATCTGTGGTACTATTCACCACCCTCCTACCCCATGCCAATGACCCGACACCCCACCCGAATCCACTATGTTGACACGCGCTTTTTAATGTCGAGAACGTACAACGCCTTCCAGAACAGGGAGCAAGGGAGGAGAGAGACAGATAGACATGGAGAGAGAGAGAGAGGAGAGGGGTTCCTTCCCCTGATCGGAACAACCTCAGCTGCCATCCATGTTGCATGAGCGGGTGTTGCCGGATGAAGGTCCAGGTTAGCCGGCGGCCCTCCATGTTTTGGTCCCCGTACTCCCACACAGCTCTAACAACTCTTGGAGAACATAAGGGGTATGCGTACCACCTCGGAACGGACGAGGCTTCGCATCACAACATCAGTCAGAGCCAGTCTGTTAGAGCAGGCTCTTGATAGATTTCTTGAGAGTGAGGGGAGTGAGAGGAAGCGAGGTGGTTTCAAAATTTGACGCCAGGCGAGGTTATGTAACATAGCTGCGTTGCGGAATCAAGGAGAAGTAGCAACCTCTCCAGTCTGAACTTGGAACCAGACCCGTAGTGGCATTAGGGCAGGTCAGGTATATCTTATTAGAGCAGTGGATGGCAGTAAAGCCAGAAGTAGAAGTTTGACTGGCGCTCTGGATGACCTCTCCTGTTTCATCAGGGATGATCACGGCAGCTGGTAAAGTTCACAACCTGCTTCATCAACACGGACCCAGGTCTCCCGGGTCTCATCAAGCGCCGGCTCAGCAAAAGATGCCTGAGTTCATCGAAATGCAGAACGACAGTGGGATGGTGATATGGGACAAGCCGAGGGAGGAGGAGGTGAGGGAATGCCGGACGTGCCTTCACCTCACACCGTCGTGCGATGTAGATCGTCATGCATGGGGCGGTGGAGAAGCGAATCGTATCCAAGAGAATCTATTGGTCTTCGAGGCACGTGTACCTCACCGACAAGTACCTGATGATAGCGCTTGACGACTCAAGTCACATTCGAGATCGAATTCGACTGCTCGACATCTTTGAGGTGTTCACATCGCCTGTCTCAGATCTGTGTCATGCTGTATCAGGTGTCGCGCATCTCCAGCAACGAGGCCGTGATGTTCGGCGGAGGCAGCAACTTGTTGCGACGGCACACCGGCAGTTCCAACAGTCTCACGGCGATGGAGGCGAGCGAGCGAGACGTGTCGCAGCTGGAATGGAATCACGCCTTCCGTATCTTGGAGCATTCTTCGAACCGGTGAGGGAGGAGCAGGGACACGCGATGAGCGCTCGGGTGACGAGGCGGCAGCAACGTCTGTCTGAGGGCGTCGAGCGAAGAGGAATGTCAACGATGGATAGATAAGATCTTGCAGGCGAAGGGGCAGGCGGTGAAAGACTTCGAGAGGAGTCGACATCTGACGCGGGTGGAGAGATTGAGGCAGAAGCTGAGCAGGTCGCCCATTCCTTCTCTCTTAGTGAATGTGACATCCTTCTGCTTGGCTGCACTTGACCTGAACAGGATTTATTTGTCGGAGGCTTGCCAGGGCCTGCTGGGGGCTATGCTCGTGGTCAACTTCTTGTTCAATGCTGTCGATGCTGAATTGCGATCACCTCCTGGGACAACTGAACGGGCCATGTTTGACTGGGTGGATGACTGCTTCACAATGATCTACACGTGCGAGCTCATAGTGAACATGTTCATCCACTGGTTCTATCCTTTCTTCTCCTCGGGTATCGTCTCTCTTGGTTCCGCATTCTCTCAACCCTCAACAGGTTGGAACATCTTCGACTTCATCGTCATCCTCTCTTCGATCACCACTTCCGTCTTGTTGAGATTTGATACGAAATCAAACTTCAACATCAGCGTCCTGCGATTGCTCCGTGTCTTCAAGATTGTTCGGGTGTTCAACAAGTGATGATCGATTCTCCCTTGACTTGTCTGACTTTCTCACCTACCTCAGGCTGAGATCTCTACAGAAGATCGTTCTTGCAATCTCCATCAGCTTCGTTTCCGTCCTCAACACCCTCGTCCTCTTCCTCGTCGTCAACTCTATATACGCCATTGTCGGTTCCTCCATCTTTGCCGACCTCTCTCCCTCGCAGTTCGGCACCTTCCTCAAGGCTTCCTTCACCATGTTTCAGGTCGCCACCTTCGACGGCTGGTCGACGGACGTGGTCAGACCTCTGCAGAACCAGGGCGCCAACTCCGCGCTGGTGGCCATCTTCTTCGTCTCCTTCCTCGTCCTCATCGGCATCGTCATCCTCAACGTCATCATCGCCGTCATCCTCGAGGGGTTCCTCTCCGCCATCGACAGGTTCGAGCAGCAGGACCGCATCAGCGAGGAGTCGATCGAGCACTACCGCGTGGCAGGCCCGCTCGACCCCCTACTCGCCATCCTCGCCAACTTTTCCTCCTCCAGCCACCTCTCCTCCCAGATCGAGCTCGTATTCTCCCAGCTCGACATCGACGGCAGCGGGACCCTCACCTTCGAGGAGCTCCGCGACGGGCTGGCAGGGCTGAACTTGCAGCCCGTCATCCAGATCAGCCTCGAGGACTGGGACGTCATCACTCACAACTCGTCCTTCTGCAACGACCAGGGGGAGATGTCCCGCTCCGCCTTCGAGGCTGCCATGAGGTGGCAGCTTTCGCTCTACGCGCAGAAGCTCCTCGCTCAGCGCATGCAGCACTCGGTCAAGAACCACTCCGACGATTCGAGCATCCTCTTTGCCATGAAAGTCCTGGTGGGTCCCAACTCCTCCTTCCACCCATGATCCTCTCCTGCCCCTGTTTCCTCCTCCCGTCCTCCCGCCCTCCCGTCCTCCCGTCCTCTTTCAGCTTGCCTTCGCGCTCGCTGTCTCTTTCCTCACGCGTCGGGTGTACTTCCCGTCATCTTCTCCCACCTCTCATGCGCCTCCTCCCTCCCTCGGCTCTTCGTCTGATCGCCTCTCGTCAGATGCTCCAGGACTCCAGGCATTCCCTACAGGAGGAGGGCCAGCGCTCGATCGGCAAGCGGGAGGGCACCCCGGCTAGTCCCTACTTTGGGGCCTGGGAACATATGGAGAGGAGGCCCAACGTCGGAGAGGAGAGGAGAGCGCAGGAGGACGTCGGTGCGCTCATCACTGAGGGCTTCAACAAAGTTCTTGCTGCCCTCGAGCGTCTCGAGCGTCGAGGCGTGCTCGAGGGCCCTGACAGGGTGACGTCACCGATGAAGAAGGACGAGACAAGAAGCTCCGTCACTCTCCCCAGCGTCGCTCAACGGCCGACCTGGACGCCTCCAGCCTCAGAGGACGACGAGGACACAGCGAGAGAGAAGGAGGAGGAGGAGGAGGAGGAGGAGGAGGAGGAGCAGCAGCAGCAGCAGCAGCAGCAGCAGCACGGGGCCAGCGAGCAGGAGGACGCTGACAGCTCTTCTGGCGTATCCGTCAGCGAGGAGATTTCGTTGAGGTTGGAGGCAGCGGAGGCAGGGGATGTCAAGAGCTCTGTCAAGCGGGCGCTGCTGAGCCCTGGCGACCAATACCTACGCACCAACCACTACAGGGAGGCGTTCGAGGCGTACCGCAGCACCCTCCAGCTCTCCCTCTCCAGGGAGGAGTGGCAGTCGAGGATCGTGACGGAGGAGGCGGCCAATGCTCCCTCCCCAGCCCACGATCCCAGCAAGGCTTCCAGCAGCAGCTCAGCCCGGGCCCTCCCCCTTGGTGGACAGGAGCACAGGGTGGCGATGGATGGGGGAGGAGAGGGGTCGTCGGGGGTCCATAAGGTCGAGTCGGTACCGAACCTCCTGCAGCAGTCGGACTTGTTCATGAGGTCACCGCAGGAGGAGGCGCTCTTGTTGGCGAGGAGGGCAGACAGTGAGCCCATCATGACGTACACGCTTTGAGTAGCGAGGAGGAACAGGAGAAGGAGACGGATGAAGGAGGAGATAATGTATGTTACACTAGCCATCTACAGCAGAAAGCATCTCGTCACCCGGCACATCACTTGGACTTGTCGTCGCCAACGGTGATGCCGCACTTCTTCAGCCTGTCGTTGGTGTAGAACTCTGCCCGGCATCCCTCCACTCCGAAGGCCATGTGGTTGACGCAGAGGTCGCAGAAGTTCTTGTCCGTCTCGTCCTTGATCTGATGTGGCTCCAGCGTTGCTACCTCGTCCTCCGCGCTGAAGGGTAGGTCAATCACGAGGGAAGACCGCCGAGGGGGGTGGGGTTGCATGGCAAGAGCAGGGCAAGGAGGAGGGGGAGGCGAAGTGAGTCGAACCTTCCATATGTTAGCATCGTCCTCCGCAGCAGGTCAAACACCATTCTGTGACAAGAAATGTCAATAAGGAGTCCCATGCCACCTATCAATTTTCTTCTTTTCTTCTCGTTGTCTTGCACTGCTGTCTCGCATGTCCACGTGCTCACCATGTGTTTTCCGAAGGGAAGTTCCCCTCCCCTCTCCATCTCTGGTTACCCACCAACCCACGGAACTCCATCTACCGTCCATCCGTTATGCATTCCTCCCTCTCCCTCCTCCCTCCCTCCCTCCTCCCTCCTCCGTCTCCTCCTCCTCCCTCCTCCCTCCCTCCTCCTCCCTCCCTCCCTCTCCTTCCCTCCTCTCCCTCTCTCCCTCTCTCCCTCCTCTCCCCTGGTCTCTCTGCCTCTTCCACCACGCGCCATCTCCACAAGAGCCTGTCTCCTCCCATGAGCATCGAAATAGAACATGTAGCATGATTTCTTTCCTATTTGGATTTCGCTCAATTATTGCTGTCCCAATTTATTTCCTATTTGAGTAAAACTACAGCCACTTGACCGAAAAGTTCACAAACTGTATCGATATACAAGGAAGGGAAGGGAGCAGGAGGAGGAGGAGAGAAGAATATGATGAAACAGCACATGATGGGAGAGGAGGAGAGGAGGAGGGGAGGGGGACAAGAGGTGGGAAGGAGGGAAAAGGGGCGAGAGGAGGGCGAGAGGATTGGCAGAGGAATTAGACTTGCATCACGTCAACAAGAAAGCGTAAAGGGGGAGAGGAGAAGTGAACTGGAGAGACAGCTCGTCGGGCAAGATCATGGAGTGTAAACTTTGCTGCCAACTGATCTAGTCCGCAGTGTGAGAAGAAGCCCGATGCTTCGAGAAACAGCTTGCGGGCTGCATCGGTTGCATCGGTTGCAGGAGATCGAGCAAGTCCTGCATCGCAACATCGCTGACAAGGTTGAACAAGAGCAGGAAGAAGTAGAAGGGTGGCGAGAAGCTCTGCGCCTCTTCTATGGAGCTGAGCACATGCCTGGATCTGACGAGGAGCAGGGATTCATTAGGGTGCTTGCTCGCGGCAAGATGCTGGCCAGCCATGTGCTCAAGGAGGAGGCAGCATGCCAGGAGCTGCCGATCAATCGGGTCTTGCGATGCGACTGCTGTTTTCTCATCTTTGAGAACCCTCACGCCCTCCATTGCGGCCACACCTTGTGCGAGGCCTGTTGGAACAAGATCGGCAAGTGCCCCCTGCCCGGGCCGACGTGTCGCGATGCGCCCACAGTCGTTGTGCTTCATCGAGATAGGCAGCAGGAGCAGGGAGGAGCATGTCAAGCGTCCAAGCAGATGCTGTCAAAGCCAAACCTCACCCTCAGCATGATCGTCGATGAGTTCGCGTTCCCGCAGGGAGGAGAGGCGAGGAAGCTGAGGAAGGAAGCTAACCTGAAGCTCGCGAGTCAAGACATCGAGGCAGCTGTCGATCTCTACGACAAGGCTATCGCCCTGTCCCCGTATGATCACGTGCTGCATGGCAACAAGGCACAGGCGCTTCTGTCCGCTCATCGATTCTCAGAGGCTCTTGCCAGTGCTGACATGTCCGTCGCTCTCATGCCGGACTGGGGGAAAGGTCACTTTCGCAGGTAGGAGAACACATGACATGGTGAATTTGACCATGTGTGTGTTGTGTAATTACGATGATTGATATGGTTCTTTGTCCATTCAAACTTTGTGATAAGAATGGGATTGAAATCCTTTGACTGTCTTGCAGAGCTCTCGCCTTTCTCGGTCTCGACATGAATGCTGAAGCTTTTGGGTCGTTTCTCTTGAGTCTCACAGTTCTTTGTGAGAACATGCGGGAGACGGGGGGGCATCGGGCGACAAAGCTGGACGTCAAGACAGCAAGAGGCAAGCTTGTTGAGCTCCTGCACAGCTTGCTGTCGAGCGAGTGCGAGCTCGGCGAGCAATTCGAGGGCCAGCTCAAGGAGAGCTGGAGGATTCCTTCCCTCAGTGATGCTGACAAGAACGAGATGACACGTCATCTGGTCAACCTCGCAGCGGACGACTTCGATCTCGAGTGCAAGTTGTGCTACCATGTCATCTGTCAGCCGACCACAACCCCTTGCGGCCACACGTTCTGTCGGGTGTGCCTTATACGCAGCCTGGACTACAACTCAACTTGCCCCCTCTGCCGCTCTTCTCTCATCGGATACCTTGCTCTACATCGCAAGGACGGGCATCTCGTCAGCAACCAGCGCTACTGCCCCATCTCCCGCAGCTTGAACTCCGTCCTCAACATGTTGTTCCCTGACCTGATGGCGCAGCGGAGCTCACAGCTCGAGATGCAGGAAAAGGTCACGAGCAGCGGGGCGATCAGTCCTACCCCTTCGGTCGGACCATCGTGGGTGCCGATCCTCTCCTGCGCCCTCGGATACCCCGGGGTGAAGTATCATCTTCAGTTCTTCGAGCCGCACTACAAGATCATGATCCGAAGGTGCATCGAGTCCGGCAGCTGCTTCGGCCTCTGCCCTCCGTCCTCCTCGGACAGGCTGGGGGGCTACGGATGCTTGCTGCAAATCGAGTCTTTCAATTACCTCCACGACGGCAGGTGTGAGGTGACAGCCTACGGGGCGAAGCGATTCCAAGTGGAGGAGGAGGAGATCCGTGACGGGTACCTGACAGCGAGGGTGCGATGGTTGGAAGACGATGCAGACGAGGAAGCAACAGGCCACAAGGACGAGCTGTTGAACCCCTTCACTCGTCCTGACCAGTTCAGCGAGTGGATGGAGAGGGAGGAGAACGAATGGCTCAGGCGTGGAGACCGACGGCGGGTCTCGCTGAACGCCCTGCAAGAGGAGCAGCAGAAGCTCACCGAGAAGAGCCTGGACGAGCTGTTCCGGTATGCCTTGTTCGACCATGCTGGGCAGAGCCTCACAATCTCCTTCAAGCTTCACCTTGCAGGCCTTCTGCTTGATTCTCCAGAAATTTCTCCCCCAGGAGGTTTGGTCACGATTCTTGCAGCAGGTGATGCCTTGAAAGAGAAACCTCTAACACTCGACACTGAGCTTGTCGTGTTGTGGTCAGGTCGGTCAACTACCCATGGATCCTTCACTTCTGTCTTTCTGGCTCTGCGCGTTTTTCCTCCACATGTTTCCTCAGCGGGTGACGAGGAGCAGAAGCATTGCTTACTTTAAATGATTTCTATGCAGAAGGGATTCACCGACATTGCCCAATCCATCACGCTTGATTCCTCGCCGTCTTCTCGCCTCCTCAAGGTAACTGATCTCTCAGTCTCTGATCGCTCAGCGTGACGTGGCTGAAGGTCATTGAGGGTCTGATGGCCATCATCAGAGAACTCCCCGCTGCTCTGCTCATGAGCACCAGCCCATGACTCGATGCGAGCTCGCTCTTCTTCTTTACGCCGTGTCGAAGTCACTCAGTCTAGCCTGTAACACCTTCACCTTTATTCTTTACACGTTCAAGTCACTCAGTCTAGCCTGTAACACCTTCACCTTTATTCTTTACACGTTCAAGTCACTCAGTCTAGCTCTTCTTGTTTGCTCGTTGAATCTGATCAATATGATCCCCGATTCCAATTTACTGGCACCCGCAGCTGACCACCCGGCCCCTGTAAAACTTCTTTTTTCAATCTTTTTTCCACTTTTTTCCCCTTTCTAACGGGACTAGCTGCGGGACTTTTAGTAGGCAACGATGGCGGGGCAGGGCCTTCATCTTCCAAGGAGCGAAGGGGAGGGAGGGAGAGGGAGAGGAGAGGAGAGCGACTGAGAATCTCCTCGTCCTCAGACATCAAGCTCCTGCTCTGCTTCTTCTGAGACCTCTCCGCCGCATCTCCGCACATGGTGCGCTCGTTGAAGGGGGGATCGGATGCGCCCCATCGCGATACCATGAGCTTGCGAAGAGATCTCGACATGGCGCGTGAGGGTCTTTCCTGCAGTACCTCTTGACCTTCTCCGTCTCACCTTGCGGCAGCTGTTCCAGCTCCTTCTGAACATCTTTGCCATTGAAATAGAGGCCAAGGCGCATCGGGATGAAGAGAGGGCCCTCGATCTTCTGGGTGTTCCATGGGTTCTTCTTCGTCTGCTTCTTCTCTTGCTCGGATACTTGGCCGCAATGTATGCACGATACTAGTTGCTCGAATATGCTGGATCGGATAGATTGTGGAAAGAGCCAACTCGTTAAAGGAAGCGCTTTTGGCCTGGTCATGGTCCTTCGAGGAGGAAAGAAGCAGTCTTCCAAGATGCGGAACCCCTCGAGACTTGAAAGCTTCATGTCAGTGAGCGACGACGTTCGCACCACTATCAGACACATGCTCTCCAACGCAGGTGAGAAGGCGGAGGAAGCAGGATCTGAAGCGAACAGCAAGCCCACTACAAGAAATGTACAGCAGCGGATCGTTGAGTGCAGAGAAGAGCTAGAAAGGTGAGAAGTCTACTTTGCTCCATGGCATGTTGCGTCCTTGTTCATCCTGCTCGTGTCCTCTTGAACTTGGATGTTCCTGGGTGGTGGGAGGTTGAAAGATTGTGAGCGATGAAGATGATGAGGATTGAAAAAATCAGCAAACATGCGATGCGGCATGTGAGGTCAGAGCTGTTAGGAATTTTTGATTCTCTGCATTGAGGATACAACACCCGGTGTTAGCTGGGGTGAGATGGCACGGCCAGAGGGTTTGAGCGGGAAATTATTATGTGCCTTTCAGCTCGCATGTGGGTCTTCGAAAGCTAATCAATTCCTACAGGCTGCAGCAAAAAGTTGTTGAGGCAGAAGCAGCAGTGAAGAAGGCAAAGGGAGAGAAGCTGAGGTGAGCTCCGGCCCCTCCTTTACTTGTTTCAACAACCTCAAGAATCACATCTCATGCCGTTCCCCTTGTTGACGAAGGACTTGGTTGCTCTGTTTGTTATGTTGACTGATTTCCTCTCTACAGGTTGCCTTGCGGGTCCACGAGAGCCAAGTGGAAAGAGGTGAGATAATTCTACATGTCTGCCGGTGCAACCCTTCCTTGATATAAGGAGTTCCTCCGTCAAAGATGCATCTCAGTTGTTGTTTGTCTTGTTCCCTGGGTCTGATGACCTCGATCTCGCTTCATGTCTTGTAGCTTCCTAGCCCTTTCAACGAGTTTTCAGCCTCGTCCATTTTCCCACCTGCCCTTGTGTTGCCTGCCTCGCCCCTTGTGTCCTATGCATCCTCCACCCCGTGTATGCCCTCCCTCCTACCGATTTCTCCTTCACCTGCTCCTTCACCTGCTCCTCCACCTGCTCCTCCACCTGCTCCTCCTCCTGCTCCTCCTCCTGCTCCTCCTCGTCGTCGTCGTGCTCCTCCTTCTCTTCTCACAGTTGCATGCAGGCGGTGTTGGCAGCGAACTCGGCGCGGAAGGCAGCTGATGGGTACCAAGACAGGCTAAGGATACTCTTAGAGGAGGGAGGGGGGGTGGTAGGTAATTTGGAACGTTCGAAGGGTGGGGTCCTAAGAGGAAGGAAGGAGGGTGGGGGTGTAGACGGGAGGAGAAGTGGGGTGGTCGACGAGGGGACGGAAGATCGTGCGGCCATGGGGAAGAAGAAAAGCAAGAGGAAGGAGAAGGAGAAGGAGGAGGAGGAGAGAAGGAGGCAGGAGGAGGAGGAGGAGGAGGAGACGGGTGAGGAGGAACGTGTGCAGAAGAAGAGGAAGAAGAACAAAGACCTTGACAGCTCAAGAGACTCGGACAGAGAGTCTCGTGACCAGAGCTCCCGTGACGAATCCTCGAGCGCGAAGAAGAAGAAGAAGAAAAAGAGGAGGAGGAGGAGCCAGGAGGAGCCGGAAGGAGAACATGCTTCACCAGACAAGGCCTTGCTGAAACTTCAATGGTCCCTCCCAGTGCCGAGGCCTCCGTTGAACCCGAAGGACGTCAGGGATTACATTCTTCACAGTATGGGTTGCGGGCCCTCCCCCTCGTGGGCGAGCCTTGAAGGGAATCTCCCGGTCCGCAACCTGATGATCGTGTGCGTGGACTCACTGGGACACTCTACCTACCTGAAGCATCAGGACTCCCTTCCTTTCCTCTCCTCCCGCCGTCACGATTCTGTTGTCCTCCGCGCCCCTGGCACTCCGATCGAGATTTTCCCGGCGACTGCTGACATTTTCACGTGCCCAGACCAAGACAAGGGACACGCTAAAAATGCTAAAGAAGCCGCCAAGAAGAGCGCAGCAGAGCTATCATTGAAACCTTCCGATTGCCTGCTCTCCTTTGCAGAGCTTGTCGACAACAATTACCCCATCTCGCCCAACTGGGAGGGAGGGGAGGAGTATGAGCACGCCAACGGGTACGTGGAGACGAGGCCAGAGGGTGGGGATGAGAAGAAGTCACCCAAGTCACCCAAGTCAGGGAGGAGGGATAAGATGATTGCGATGGACTGTGAGATGTGCACTACCAAGGAGGGGCTGGAGCTGACCAGAATCTCCCTGGTGGACGAGGATGGCAACACTGTGTATGACAGCTTCGTGAAGCCCTTCAACGAGATCGTGGACTACAACACCAAGTACAGCGGGATCACCCAGGAGATGCTCAAGGACGTGGAGACGAACATCTACGACATCCAGCAGAGAGTTCTCGAGCTCTGCTCCGCCGAAACCATCCTGGTGGGGCACTCGCTGGAAAATGACCTGAGGGCGTGCAGAATCTATCACAGCCGCGTCATCGATACGGCAGTCCTGTTCCCCCACCCGAAGTATGCTCTCCCTCATTCGCTCGCCACCCCCCCAACCCCCCTCCACCTCCACCTCCACCTCCCTTGTTCGCTTGCTCCTTTCCTCACCTTCCCCTGCTCTTCTTTTCTATGATGTCTTGACGGTGTCAACCAGGGGAAACGCGTACAAGCATGCTCTCCGCCACCTTGTCAGCAGATACTTGAGGAGGGAGATGGATAGGAAGAATGGACATTGCAGCGTTGATGACGCTGCTGCTTGCATGCAGCTTGTCAAGCTCAAACTTATGAAAGGTTTGCCCTAGACCCGTCCTCTCCTTCTCCTCCTTCTCCTCCTTCTCCTCCTTCTCCTCCTTCTCCTCCTTCTCCTCCTTCTCCTCCTTCTCCTCCTTCTCCTCCTTGCTCCTGTCCTTCTCCTCCTTGCTCCTGTCCTTATCCTCCTCGTTCAACACAACTTATTCCTTTTCCCTCCTCGCCTCTCTCTTCCCCTGCTCCCTCTCCCTGGAACTTGTCAAATCCAACAAGCTCTTGCAGGTCCATTCTTCGGTGTATCAGGAGATTGCAGGCTGAAGGGAGAAAATTTGTTTCATCGGTTGGAGAGGAAGAGCACAAGGAGCTTGCAGATGTTCATGCTGGGTGACATCAGGACGGTAGGAGGAGGAAAGGAAAGCAGGAGCGGGGAAGGGGAGGACGAGAGAGGGCGGAAGAGCAAGTGGGAAGGGAGGAAAGGTGGAGGAGCAGAGGAGGGAGATTGAGGAGGAGAGATATTCCTACTGACTGGTAAAACAAGATCGGACTGATGTCGAAGGGAAGCTCAGCAACTCAGATCTGCTGCAAGAACGAGAAGAACATGCTAGAGGAAGCGGCAAAGGTGACGAGCCTCCAACCTCATCCACGGCCGTGATGAGCTCGTTTCGTCAGATCTTCGATAGCCACGACAGTTTCCTCCTGGTCTCCTGGCTCGACGTCGGACCTCCTCGAGAGGATCGAGCCTCTCGGCGCAAGTCTGCTACTTCTCCTCCTCCCAACGACGCGCCGGACGACAAGGCTGAAGCTCCTCCCGAGGAACTGGAAGCTCGTCTGCTCGGTCTTGCCATGTGTCTCTCTTCCTCTCCGTCATCTGCCGCGTGCAGGCGTCGACAAGACCATCTCCAGCCTTTGCTCCCAGGCTCCTCCTGGCACAAGCGTCATCATCATCGGCCCTTCAGAGGTCTAAGAGAGAGGGGGAGGGGGGAGGAGATGGAACGAGCGGGAGCAGGAGCAGAAGCTAGAGGACGGAAGTCGGAGCACGAGAACTTGTGGCTCGCTGACGGAGACGACAGGACCTGACGGAGATAGAGGAATTGCGATTGAGGAGGAGGACAAAATCGAATCAGAAGAGCGCAGGTGAAGGAGGCGAGGGGGGAGAGGGGGCGACAAGAGTTTGAACGACAGCAGGGATGCCCTGGAGTGAGGAGGACGAGAAGAATCTCAACACGAAGATCAACGAGGCCAGGAATGGCTGCGCCTTCTTCTTCTTCAGCAGTCGATAGGGAGATGGAAAGAGGACTGAGGAGGAGGGAGGAAGGAGGAGGAGGGGGGGGAGGGGGGGCGGTCATTCATTCATAATGAAAGTCTGAATCGCTGAACGAGCAGACTTGAGGGTTACATCGTTGCCCTTGAGCTCGACCTGAAAGGAAGGTCAGTCCCAGAGGCAGGGAAAGAGAAGGAGGGGCTGGGGGGGAGAGGGGAAGGGAGGGGAAGGGAGTACGAGAAGGTGGGAGGGAGAAGGGGAGGGGCAGGGAGAAGGGAGAAAGGGGGCAGAGGTTGAGAGAGTAGGAAGTGGGAGAGGAGAGGGGGAAGGGTGATGATGAACAGGATTGAGGGAGAACTTTGGTGAAGGAGAGGGGAGGAGGGACCTCTGCGAATTCAATGTCCGATTCCGTCTTGAGCACACGGATACTCGCTCCTGTCTCCTCCTGTTCGCTTCAGACGTCATGGCGCTATCCTTTCGACTCCACCATCACCTCTAGTTTCTTTATGTTCCTTCCACCTTTCCCGATGAAGAGCCTGTGGGTCATTCTGTCAGAGGTGAGCAGCAGCAGCAGCAGCAGCAGCAGCAGCAGCAGCAGCAGCAGCAGCAGCAGCAGCAGCAGCAGCAGCAGCAGCAGCAGCAGCAGCAGCAGCAGCAGCAGCAGCAGCAGCAGCAGCAGCAGCAGCAGCAGCAGCAGCAGCAGCAGCAGCAGCAGCAGCAGCAGCAGCAGCAGCAGCAGCAGCAGCAGCAGCAGCAGCAGCAGCAGCAGCCAGGAGTTGCAAAGGAGAAGGTCGACCCGATTTTCGAGGAGGGAACTTTGATCCTCATGCTCTCAAGCTTCTCCTGGAATCGACTCAGAGCAGTGCGAGGAAGGAGGCAGAGGAGTCACCATCGTGACCTTGGGCTTGCTCGAGAAGGAAATCGTCCCTCCCATGAAGTCCGTTCCCTTGTCCTTCATCTTCGCATACTCCATCAGTCCTCCCTCCCAGATTTGAGCCGTCAGCCCTCTCGGGCAGAAGACGCAGAGTACGCCCATGGTCTCGATCTCGTTGGTGTTCATGGTGCTATCGTCGAAGAAGCTGTGACCACCCCAGTCACTGGCCCTCCCGCCGCCACCTCCTCCTCCCTCCCTCCTCCCTCCCTCCCTCCCTCCCTCCCTCCCTCCCTCCCTCCTCCTCCTCCTCCTCCCCTTTCCACTTTCCTAACCACTCTGAACTCTACCTCACCCTTGCTCCCCTTCCCCTCGCCTCCACCTTTCAAAACCCTTTCCCCTTTGGCAGCTCTTACATCATCTCAGAGAAAGGAACGCCGCTCGCTCTCTTGAGGTTCTGGAAGTGTTTCCTCTTCGACCCAGGAAAGATCTCCTTGTACTCGGCAAGCTCTGCTACAGCAACACCGGGAGCAGCCTCGAACTTCTCCAGCAGATGTTTCGCCCACTCTACTTTGTTCGTCCTCGATGCGATGGCGACTTTCGTCCCCTTCCATGCCTCGTCGGTCGCAAGCTCGTGCAGCGCGCCCTTGGCTCCCTCAAACAGCCACACGTCCTTGTCTGCCTTGGGGCTCCTCTTCAGCTGGTACAGCTCGGGCGTCCACAGGGTGTTGTCGAGGTCGAAGACTACGAGCTTGGGACGAGCGCAACCCTTAGGAAGCTTCGCAACTTGCAGGCCCTCGCTCTCGCCCTCTCTCCTCTTGCGAGCGCTCATGCACACCACATCAGAGCGCCTGGAGGACAACGACTTGCTCGATGCCATGCCCCTCCAGCCTTGTGATCCAGGGAGCAGCGCGAGAGCCAGGAGGAATCGAAGGAGATGGGAGCTCATGAAAATGAACTTCATAACAGTCTTGCGAACACAGATCCTCGCTAACTCCCCATTCGACTTCTGCCAATCTCCTCCCCCTGCACCTGGGCCCGTCAACTCACTGCCTGCACATCGCTAAATATCAGCATCATCCTTATCCTCCCCTTCCTACTCGTTTCCCAACCCTCCCTCGTCCTCCCTCCTCTCCCCTTCCCTCGTCCTCCCTCCTCTCCCCTTCCCTCGTCCTCCCTCCTCTCCCCTTCCCTCGTCCTCCCTCCTCTCCCCTTCCCTCGTCCTCCCTCCTCTCCCCTTCCCTACGGCCTCCACCACCGCATGGGAACGCTTTGCCCGATAATGGACCCTCATCCCCACTCATACCCTACTGCCCCTACTCATCCGCAGGCAGTCACCGACTCATCAGTGCCAGACTCAGTACGGTCCTGACTCCGAGGCTCAGTGCCGCTGCAGTACTCAGTACGGTCCTCAGAGTCTGCCAGGCTCAGTCCTGTACTCAGTCACGTGACCGTGACTGTGAGTACAGAGCTGATTGTATGACTGCTAACTCAGGCCTGTGCTAACTTAAGTTGCCAGCTGAGCCGCTGGTAGAACTTGAACGAGATCGGACGGCAGCGAGTGACCATCGGCCCTCGGAGCGGCGCCGGGATGCCGCCAGGCTGCAACTGTACCGTCCCGCAATCACGCCGGGAGATTCAGGAGGCCCGTTCCAGCTCAGCCGGGGCCTGATCTGACAGGGCAGGCCAGGAGGAGCAGTTTCAATAGACTTGTACTCTTCCAGGAAGGACGGATAGCGGGTAGGGAGCAGTTGGAAAGGAGAGGAGGTGAGGAGAGTCACAAGAGTAGCAGCGTGGTAACTTTTACTGAATGCGGTGTTGGGAATAAAGTGTTGGAGGTTGCTGAAAGATTTATCTGGGACTGTTGAGGAGATTTCTCTTGCTGTGTAGCCTGTCATGACCCAGTGGACCCAGCAAAGCACTCAGATCTCAGTCTCTCAGCTTCCGACCGGACGTCTGGTCAGACTGACTGAGAAGGGTCTCAGATGTTGGACAAGCTGAGTGATGCAGACGTGAATCAACAAGTCTACAAGCGTTATGGCATTACACTAACGTTATCAGCCATCTAGAGTACACGGGACCAACTGAGTCACACGAATGGATTTCAACCGAGCCGTTAAGGATGTTGCGGAAAGGTTGTAACGAGCGGGTTCGTAGTGAGCCTATGCAGACTTCCAGTCTGCAAATTGAAATTTTAGACGAGTTTGAAGACGAAACTCAAGAACAAACCATCTTTGTCGGAAAGGAAATGTGTCCTGCAGTTTCAGCTGCCGACACAATGCTGCAGATACAAGTAAGACTGATGGGATGTAGATGATCAAAACTTTCAACCTGCTGTGAGATGATCGTGCTGATGGCGATTGCGAACGGGAGCCCGTGGGAGTTATATCACCTGCATCTGTTTGTAAATGCTCCGAGACAAGGCACATTGATACTCACGGGATCGATTCAGGGCCGGAGATCTGGACCTTGAGCTGTAAGGTGTGGCCGGAGGTGAAGGATAGGGACTCAATCTCGGGCTGAAAGAGGGCAAACTCTGGGACTCCCACTTGCCGCTTCCTGTTGATTCGAGCAAAGAATAAGGTCAACTGCAAAGTTGGACTATGATTAAGCATCAACTCACTTCGTTTCTCCCGGAAAATTCTCGGAGTGAGACTCAATTCTCCCAGCACATCACCGTCCGGATCCACACTGTTCCAGCTATTGTCGCAGAGGTCAACAGCCTCCATCTCGGCAAGGTTCCACTTCTCCAGAGAGGTGGCACGATTGAAAGCAGGATAACAGGATCTTTCGCGAACCATCATGTTGAAATGGCGTTCCCACTCAGCCTCGAGTCTCTGAAAGGGAAGCAAATCGACAAGCTTGTAAGTATCGTGACAAAGCGATGGGAATTGCAGTCAACCTGTGCGATCAGAGACTTCTCCCGTTGCATCTCAGTGAGCCGTTTTGACTCCTTGGCAATCCTTTGTTGCATGACGTAGTTTGTACCCTGAAGCTTTTTCAACTCCAGACGCTGCAGCTCGTGCTCCCTTTGCAAATCACCGCTTTAAAAAGCATACAAAAGCTTTTTACATCAGTACCTGCTGAGCGCTGAAGCTGTGGCCTTCTCCTTTTCAAGCTTCTGAATCAGCGCTTCCTGTTTCGAGCATCAGCACTCTTCAAGGGCATTCGCAATGTCCATATACCTTCTCACTCTTGATTTGGTCCACAGTCTTGCCCAAGGTGTTTGAAATTCTCTCTTCTTCCACCTCAATATTGAGCCTGCCACCAACACTGATCAACCACCAGCACTTAATGCTTAGGTAGGTTTCGTACTGCAGGGATTGTAACTGTCGAGCTAACTTCTTCTTTTCTTCTTCCATAGATAGGACCTGCATTGCAAATACAAGAGTGAGCTTCTAATGAAATGAATCACAAACAACTACCTTGGCCTTCTCCTCTTCGAGTCGGCGTTCCATATCTTGCTTCTCTTTGAGCGTGTCAACAACTTGCTTCTGCAGTCTGTTGGAGATGTATTCTTGCTCCTGCTCAAGCTCGTTCTCTATCTCTACTTTTTCTGCCAGAACCTAGCATTGCATACATTAAGATTTTGACTTGTGCAAACAGAAAGAAGAGAGTGGAACCTTGGCGAGCTTGTGCTGCAGAGTGTTGGTGAGGAATTCTTCTTCCTGCTCTACCTATAGTTTGACGATGTCAATATCACAATTTGGACACTTTTTAATCTTAACCTGGCGCACAAGAGCCTCTTTTTCGTGTTTGAGCCTTGATAATTGCAAAGTAAGATTCAGGGGATTATTGCCCTTGACGATACTACCTTGCAAGGTGAGCAGCACTCTGTTGTAATTTTGTCTCCAGCTCTTTCTTCTCATGCTCAAGCCTTCGCTCTTCGGCTTCAACCTGTAGTTATCTTCAGATGATGGGAAGGTGCAATGAGGAAGATGCGTACCTGAAGACGCATCGTAGCTTTCTCCTTCTCGATTTCTTCGATTCGGAGCCTGTGAATAATTCAGCTTGCAAGGCTTACAAATGCTTTCATGCTACATCAGCTTATTCGTGATTCTCTCGGCTTCCGCTTCAATTTGGGATTGTTGAATCCCCATCTTCCTCTTCAAATCGGCATTGTTTCTGTACAACTGTTAACTTCTCAAGGTGCAAATATCCCAGATTACCTTTCCAGTGAAGCATTCTTACGCTTCTCGTCCTCCAGCTAGATGAAGAGCAACAATCAGAGACGAGAGATTTGGGATACTGCAATGAACAAGGACGATGGAAATGCTATGCAATACCTGCTTGAGCAGCGACTCAACCGTCGGCTCCTTCACGCTTTCACTCATCTCTGTACGCGGACTGTTGGATGCAGAATGTATCTGGTTGAAACTGAACAAAAACAGACATGTTAGAACACAGACTTCAACGCATGCACTCTATTTGCAACAAGAATGAAATTTCGTGAATCCAATGCAAGAGACGGCAGTTTTGCCATGGCTGTATTGCGACTGTTGCATCAAGCCAGGGTCACAGCAAACAGATTCATATGTGGGACAAGGTTTGTGGTAGCAACATTTTGGAGCAAGGAGTGAGGAAAATCAGCAGGTTGCATCTTGGACCGTGAAGATTAGAATGAGACAGACCAATACCTCTTCTATCTACCACAAAAGCTTCTCAAGCTACAATCGCACGCCAACAGGCGCAATGGCGCTTTCACCACTCAGGACTCTCCAACTACTCAAGAAACGTGTACCAATGCTGGAACAAGGACAGAGCCAGATCTTTCTTCAAGATTCTGTGCTCTCAGCAATGATTTTGCCTCCCTCCTCCTCCTCCTCCTCTCGCTCAGACTCCTCGTTCGTCCTCGCCACTACTTTTCGCTCCCTGGCTCTCCTTCTGGCTGAACCTGTGGTACCCACCCTGCAACAATTACCCCTCACCCCTGCTCCATTGCATACCCTACCGTTGTTGGAAGAATTTGTTCTATAGTACCCATCTTTTTCTCTGTAATTACCCACCCCTTATGTGATGTTATTCTAGATCATTCTGCATACACCCGTACTCTTCACTACCCCTACCCAAACTTCCGTCTTCTTACCACCCACTCAGCATGGCTCTTTTCTTCGCTGTTTGGTAGCACTTTTAAAGGGTAGTTATAAACAGTTTTTAAAAAACATATTTAATCTGATTCTTGTACCAACAGAAGTATCTGCCCCCAATCACAGCAAGATAAATTATTTTAGTGAACTTGATTATAGGTAAAGCTGTTACTGATTGGTTGTTTTGATAGAAAAATTAGTACCATTAAAACTATTTTTAATGATCATTTGTATCTTTGTAGCGTCGTAAGGTATTTTTGATATAACCAAAGTTTTACCCCAGCAATGACCCCCCACCCGTACCCCCTAACCCGAACAACACCCTACCCCGGGGAGTTCCAGTTGCACCCCCTCACATATGGCCACTCCTTACCCCAAGCATCGCTTACCCCCTTCCCCCACTACCCCCTCCGTTCATACAAAACACACCCACCCCATTATCTTGTGCCTGTCCTCTGCCACCCCCATTCCCCCGGGGAACTCCAAGGCTTCCAGCGTACCCCCCTACCCCTTCTTGGATTGTAGTCATTCTTATGCCACCTACCCCCTGTTTTCAGTTGATCCAAGCAAAGTATCTACCCCTTCCTGCAGGTGAGGAGGGGTAACTCGGAGGGGGTGTACTTCGGTCGGGGGTATCGTCTCCCACCGGTGCTGCTCCCAGAGGAATCGAGGGTAGTCATTTACTTTTACTACACCGGTGGAATTTCTGGACAAAATGGGGGTGTTAGTTTGTTATATCACCGGTGGTTTTAAGGGATTTGTAACCGGTACTCCTGACCGCCAGGCTCATCCCTTGAAAATCTGAGGCCACCTAAAAATTGTACACCCCTACCCCCTCAAATAGCCGATATCTACTACACGGGTCATGATCGTTATCCGAGCCAACGGACCGGTACTCGGGCAAAGGGCGTGCCCGGCCGGGCCGGCGGCCCGGCTAAAGGAGACGATACCTCATCCCCACTCAGCCCCCGCCAATGGCTGCGGTTGTGGCTCTTGGCGGAATGCGAGGCGGACGACCGCGCATGGTGAGGAATCATGAGAAGAAGCGAGTCAGTCACTCATCAGTCAGTCACTCAGTCACTCAGTCACTCAGTTAGTCACTCAGTCGGTCGTGAAGGTCAAGAATCTAGACGAGAGAGATGCATTTGGGGTCAAGGCGGTCATAGCAGGAGTGAGGAGATAGGCAATGAAGGGGTTTGTTTGTCAGATGCTCCCAGTCGGTCTAGTCTCTTCTGGAAAGATCGTGCGACTGTTGATTAACATTTCTCCTCTCGTCTTTGCAGGTTGTAGCTGGGTTGCTTGCATTGGTTCTGTTTGTTGGCGTGAGGTGCGGAGATTTTCTTGCGGGAGCTGTGAATGATCTGATCACTGTTGTCATGGCAGTGTGAATGTGCTGCACAAGCAGCAGCGTAGGTTGGAGATGCAGCAGATGCTCTACAACCAGTGGGGCATCCATGACCACAACGAGCATTGGGGTGGAGTCGGCAGGTATTGCAGCGGGGAGCTGAGAGGAACGGCGATGTGGCTGATGGTGGTGGAAACGCAGTGAGAATTATCACACGGCCAAGTGGGACAACACGGGATCGAACCAAGACTATCACCCTCGAGACGGGACCAGCGCCACCGCCGACGCCATGGAGGTTCACATTCCGGCATCGCCATGGCTGGCTCTCTGAACTTGTGCCGCAGCCGAAATGGTGGAGGCCAGGACCAGGAGCGAACTCGGAGTACACCGGGCATGACATGGATGGCGAGCTGTTCAACCCCCCCGACGAGAAGATCTTCAAGCCCTTCTACATGAAGTCTGTCGGCAAGGCCTCTACCCAGCAGCTCTTCGACGTTGATGGCCCGTCCCCGAGGGATCCCCCCAGGTCCTCCTGGGCTCGTGCTGGCAAGGGAACCACCAGCTGGATGCTGAGTGAGTCCGCCGTGTCATTGTTTGCGCTACTGACGTGCTGGGCCAGAACACGAGGGTCCTCTGCTGGCCTCCTCGCAAGAGAAACATGAGAGCCCTCATCCTCTCAAGGATGTCACCGCCATGCAAGTTCAGGTGGGTCCTTGCCTCCCCTGCGCTCTTTGAATCCCCTCCTCTATCTTCCTCCCCCCTTCCTCCCCTGACCTGTTTTTAGTTACTAACGTACTTTCGCCCTCGGAGCATCTTTCGTCAACTGTTTACATCAGCTTATCCCTCGCCTCAACGTTTACCAACTCCCTCCTTTCCTCTGCACGGACAGTTCGGTCACACTAGGGCATAGTCTTCCCTGATCAAGCATTTACCATGGCTTGTACTCTTGTCCAGCAGCTGTTGTTGATAGG